ACATCTAGACGCTTGGGCCCCTACCATTTTTCTCCTGATCCTCCTCGTATCAGCCCTCGCATCATACCCTTACCCCGACCTTACCCTTGTCATCCTCGCGTTCCCTTTCACTCTCTACCTGTCACTTCAGCAGAGCCAGTACATCTGGCCAGATCCGTTCACTGATGAAGCATACCCATGCTCCGTTCCGCCACCTGACTGATCCTGTGGACAGTCCCCTTTGCCCTTACCGTCTGGACGGTAACCTATGATATGATGCACGACGCATCCCCTTTGCCCTTTTCCCTTTCTTGATCTCTGACTCGGTGCGCAGTCGCACATGCAACTTATACTTAGCTCCACAGCTGCACGATCGTGCCCCTGCGCGTTTCACTTCTTATTCTGACCTTTGACTCATTTTCTTATCAAGCACGTTCTGGTTCACCCGTGTCTCACCCCAAACGTGCCTTCCTTTTATGGTTATCCCCTTCACCAGTTACTTCACTTGGTAGTACGAGTTAACTAGTTCATTGCTGACTTGGTGAATGTGGTTGTTCCTGGAGTCTGTTATGAGACCCATGATAAAGCGTGGACTGCAAGACTCATGCAGTGACCGAAGAACATTCAACAATATTAGATGGGTATTGACATCAAGACCAGCTGGATAGAAAACAGCAATTATACTTTGTGCTCGTTGAAGTTTCTATGACTCACTCAAAGGTTCCAGCAAAATAAATAGCCTTCACAATGCATGCTCGACGCATCTGGCCATTTGATAAAGCAATCAAAGGCAAATCCAATAGAGAGGAAAGACCTAGTCTTAAAGTTAGGTCCTCAAAGATGCCCCTCTTTACTTCGTCAACTCACCTTTTCAACTTTTGGCCTTGCTTGGGACCTACTAAGTAGTACACGCGTTGTGCACGATCTGTCCGTATTCGTGTAGTCACCATTGGATGGAGAATAATAATCGTCGAAGCGAACCACTATATATCTCGTCTTTGCAGCGGTACTTCTTTGCATTTTATAATTCCATTACTTGTCTGGCTCCATTATATACACGTCCCGTGACTGGCCGCGCAAGTCTCATGTCTTCCAGACTGAGTCGAATATGTGCATGACTTGCCGGATGGTTTTACACTTACGTTCCTGGTGGTTGGCACCAGTGCAGATGAATTACTTGGAGTAGCCCCGAATGCGAAGACAGCTCTCCCCACAGGTTCTAGTGCGATACGCCGAAGTTGATTGAAGCCCATTGAGAATCCTGAATCCTAAAAACAAATATTCAGATTGTTACAACTACAGGCCCAAGTTGAACGCCAGAAACATTAAAGTACATCGATGTCATCATACAAGAACATATACAATCATCCCGAAAGGCAAGTTTATACAAGTTCGATCACTCAACCTTCATAACACTTTCGATGCGTTTCTGTTGAACGCGTCTTTTGAGGTCTGCCCACATCGGGTATCCGAATATCATCGTACATGCAACATAAGCAGCCTGAATACAAAGTCAAGGCGCGAACTCAGAAAGACGCGAGACAGGCATACCGTTACAATAGCGCCCTTAACATAGTGCCTACAAAGTGACCATGTGTAAAGCGTTTCAGCCCCATGAATGGCGCAGAATATTGCGCAAGCGGTTCGAAAGGAAAGACCAAGACCAGTGGTATTTCTAAACGCGTGCGCTGGGGAGAAGAATGCATTCATAGTGGTGACAGGTATGAAGAGGAATGTAGTGTCAGGCGGTGGTGGCGAAAGGAAATAGAAGTATGCGAACAAAGGGATTCCTACGATGGCAGCCGTGCGAGGAATCTGGAATGTGGTTATTTGTGGAGCTTTGATCTATATCACAAAAATATATACCTGTCAGAGACAAGACTGACTTCAAAAAAGGGTGGCAAAAACGCACCATACCAAGGCTCTCCTGGGCCTCTGCCTTCATACTCAAAAGCCGGGGTTTGACTTCCTCGTACCCTGAAAGCGGTGGGTCAAATGACACCCGGGTCGTATTCGATTGTCCGGACTTGAGTTTATACACCAGCGTCATACCCTGATCAGTTTGTCAGCGCCAGCGAGAAAAGGACATTCATTTCCCCAGTCCTACCTTAGAGTCAATGCTAGACATCTCAGCAGTGAGCACGTTGCCCTCAACTTTCCCGAAATATTTGACATATGCAACTAATGTATCAGGATGGTTCTTCATGTACATGGATAGGAAGCCAGACTTCGAAGCGACCGGGTCCGACATGGTTGCCTAGGAAGACTTGTTGAACAATGAGTACTAGAGTTATAGATCAAGTTCACTCAGGCGCCAATTCGTGTCGAATTGGCAATCGGCTGCAACCGCCATTACAAGTGTTGTGCTATGACAAATATTGACTGCAGGGTTGGAGTTCTTAATACATAATCATAGCTGGAATAATTATAAGTAATCCGGGACAGCTCAGTTGCATCCTCCTCTCGGATTGTTTTACAGTAGTATTGGAGACAACGAACTTCCCCACATGTGTGCGGAACTGTGTGGCAGCGCCAAGCGTGCAAAATTGTTTCAAAGGGAGTATTACACAAAAGGCATAAAAAGGGTTTGGATGCCGCATAATCCAATGAATATATATGAGCGCATAGTCCATTGAAATTATACCACCAGTATTTAGTCCACACGAATTGCACTGTACAAGCGCCGCACAGCCCAATAGGATGCGAGGAATCCAATAGTCCCTTGATGAAACTGTTGAGTTCTACTGTCATGATCACGAGACATTCCTCACCGGTGACGATAAAGTCGAAAAGGCAGATCAAGAACAAATACCCGAGGTATAATGCGACGCTGGAAAACGAGTCCAGCGAAAGTCGGGATAACCAGTAAAAGAGTCCATATGCCAGGATCCAAAACGCACTTCCACCGCCAGTTAAGAATGCACGCCAATGCCACCTGCAGGGAGAATCAAGATTACAAATTACAGATAAACATACTTCTACATACCTGTACTCTTCAGCACAGAGATTGAAATATGTGAACAAGATTGTCACGGTGCCAGTGGTAAGTGCGACAACTCCTGTTGTCAGCGCCAGGAAACCAAATGCATAGTAGGCGCGAGATGCGAAGAGGCTAGACATGACGAAGTAAAGTTCCACGAACGCAGCCCCTAAGACATTGACGGAACTGTTAAGTCGGGAAAAACTGAATCATGTGTCTTGTCTTACCAAACGGCAGGATCCCTGCAAGTAAAGCGGAGGCCTGAAACAGGGTTGAAAATCATGTGTACGTTGCTGGTCAAGACTTACCCATGGTCGAAGGTGTCTAGGAGCTGGTGGGATCTGACGGGGTATTTGATTGACTCTAACAGGGTGTGATACACCCTGAAACCAAATGAATTTCAATTGCATGAAACACGCAATACACGCACCCCTTGCCTTGACCCAATGTATGACCCAATCGAAGATAGTGGTGCAGAAATACCAAACCAGAGGACGACAATCAAGAGCATAGTGGCTAGTGTGGGTGAGTTCCAAGGTCGTCGTCACGATTACTCAGACTTACAGAATGGAACAGCCCCTGAGGAACCGGCAACAAGAAGAAAAAAGTTTAATGAAAAGATCACTATGAATACCAGCCTAGTGAACGGGATCAGCCAATGAGTAATCAAGATAATGCTGCAGACGAAGAGGCTCACGTCGGGAGAATGGTGGCTGTAAGGAACGCATTCTTTCTGTTATCAATGCCACCAAGTGATGCGTATATTCTACTCGAATAATAACCTCCGATCCTGATATATCTTCATAAGCAACCGAGAGCTTCGGTATGAAGAGACAACTTACCCTCCAAAAAGGGTCCAGCACACCATCATGACAGTTGCAAGAGAACCTCGGTTTGAAGGCGAGAGGAAACCTAGCAATGCGAAGACTGTTGGAAGTTGATTTAGACAGTAAACGAAGGCCTCTGAAATTTAAGAGAACTACCAAGGGTAACGGCGCACATAGCGCACAACTGAGCGCCATTTCCTACCATAACGGAGAGTACCATGGGGTATCTGGGTGCTCGGAAAACTTCTCCGTGTACCAGTTTCCAACCCCAGTCTTCTTGAACATCTTCCTGCATTTCGTTTAGCGTCAGAACGATCACATATAAAGGATCAATCACTCACACTAAGATCAATGGCATTGTATCGTGAAATCTGCATGTACGTCAGCTTGGATTATGACAGTGAAGCCAACAGATAATTACGTCTCTGGAGACAGTGCGCCACAGAATCATGGCTACCATGACGCAAAGGAAGACAACAATGACAATCGAATTAATGAGGCTGAACCAATGTATCCGGGGGTCAAATATATGGAGATAGTTGTCCCATCGAGTGGCCTATGAATAATCAGAAAGGCTCAGCGCATGTCTTATCCGTCGAACGTACCCATGGCGTGTCAGATTCCTTAATGCAAGATATTAGTCAGATACTCGCTGGGACCAAACCCTTCACAACAGACTTACGTCCCAAGTTACTCGGTAGGTATACCGTATGTTATTGGTTTCATTTTCAGACAGACCCAACTTGGGAACTTCAGCGTCACAATTCGGCATACTTTCACCTTCTTGATACCCGCCGCGGCTGCAACAAGGATGTAAGCAAAGCAAATAATACACAAAACCCCTCGCGTACCTAGATGGCCATACCAGCACTCCGACAACGCGGTAAATTCCAGGGGATGGCTCATGATATCTGAGTGGCATTGAGTTTGATGAATTTCATTCCTGAGAGGTAGACAGGCATACCTCAAAACAATCTCATAATGATTATTTAGGTAGGGAATATCGTCGTCATCATTCCCAAGGTTGAATCCCATATCGAAGAAAATGTCCCCAGTCTTCATATCTTTCTTCATTTCCGCAGCCGGCAGACCATCCACCAACCAGTTGAGAGCGTAATCCTCACGGATTCGCTCATTGATGAATTTTGCATCTTCTCCAGGAATTTCGGCGGTACACAGCGTTTGGCAAGTACCATTAGCCTCTAACATTTTGATCTGTCGAAGCGGGTTGAGTCTGCATATATAGTTATCCAGCCAACGACAACTTACATCATACGGAGATGTGAATATTCGGTCACCGAATAGTATTGATCCTAATGACTCGGGCTGACTATGGGCACCTCCGTCGGGGGAGCAGAAGTGAAATCGAGGATTGTAGTAGTCATCTGTGATGGGTCAATGTTCGTTGCTAATTGCAATCAATAGGCGAGCTTCTTACAGTTTATGAGAGATTTCTGAAGACCAGTAAGCACAGCCGAATCCTAAAATAATAGCAAACATCATACCAGTTTTGAATCATCACTTCCAGCGAGCATGGGGGTGAGCGCATTGACATACACATCGACAGGATCGCGTTGCGCATAGTTGTGAGGTGCTGCACCAGGAAGGTAGAATGCGTTAGCAGCTAGGGGAAGTAAAGAAAGTAATGCGCTTCCAAGGAGGTAGCTAGAAGTGCCTCTCATGGCAAAAAAAAGAGCGCTTCAGAGTATTATTGGGAACGCTAGGAAATAGTGTAAGTAGGAAGGACTATAGGGACACGACACTGGTAATCACGTGATGGGATCGTTCAAAATAAATTATATATCTAAGCGAAATGAGCTGCCAGGCATAAGCGCTCGAAGGATTCCGGAAACCTTCAAGTTAGCCTTGTACTCCAAATCTGTCATGACCGCGCTTCATCGACCCGGAATGACATCGAGGTACGTTCTCAAACTTTGCCTTTAGTCTCGTTTGTTTTAAGTGGTCGCGCAGGTTCAGATGCCTCTGAGCGTCTCGTGTGGAAATGGAGGCTGACATCTTGTGTAGCTAAAGTATGTTGTCTGTTTCTCTTCCTATCTCCCACCGCTCAGCAATCATTTGCGCAGATTACTCTCGCTCAAGCAGATCGCGATGCGGCGGTACTCAAACTTCTCGAGATTCGAGAAGTTAGGTGAAGTTTATAGCTTCGTGACACAAGACAGGAAGTTTGCCCAGATTATATCAATGCGCGCTATTCTTTGGGGGATTTCTCAGAGAATCTTGTTCTCGCCGGACAGCGCTCGCATCGTCGCTGTTTTTTATGGATCAGACTCGGACGGGACGGACAGAACCTTCGATTCTTCGAACTTTCATCCTTTCAAGTTCCCTCGAGCTCAAAATTTCAGAGATTGAAATTTATATTTTGCACTGGCAGGTGTATGAATGTCTTGCGCAATGATAAACAGATACCGGCCTAATTGGATTAGGAGATATTCTAAGGGTTCCTACACAAGAATACTTGGCTAAACTGAAAATACTGAAACCTCCGAGACGTTCTATGTCGATCGTGCTTTCAGTTCTAGGCCAAAGTTGATCGGTTCCTCGTTCAGATTCACAGAAGAACTTTCTTGAAATCAAATCAAATCAAATCGTTGTTGACTCCTGTTAAATAAATACTTACCAATGTCTTTCTAGCAAGCCTATCCGATCTTCGTCCATTCCAACTCAACATGACCTCCCCAACTGAGATTGCACTGCGTCTTCAGACTGTCAAGGTAAGTCTTGCTACTATAGATGAAAATATATCAGTCCTCACGAACCCGACTCTGTTAGTATTTTAAGAGTGTGTAACACAGAACTCCTATGATACCACCGCCCTTCTGACATTTTATTGTGAAAGTGGTAGGGTTGGCGATCTTGGTAGGAAATTGAACAGATGAATCAGATAAACGATGACATCAGTTGCAGGTCTTTGACTACTGTATCAACCTAGAAGCTGAGGTGGGACCTCCATCCGCTTAGCATGCTATTGAGGTCTCGATTGACACAGAATACTAGATTGACCTCACTTGGGGGAGGAAGTGGGATTTTGTTCGCATCCTTTTTGCTGCGGCTCGATACACGCCTTTTATTGGCGTCCCGGTGGACTTGATTTGTACGTGTCCGTTGTATTTACACCGGCATTGCATTACTAATTGACGATCAAGATTCCCTTGGACCCACATCGCCAAGACTTGTGAGTACCAATATCAGAGATAGGTTATATTGCATTAACAGAAACTCTATGCTAGTGCTCATCGCTCTACCAAGTCACCTCGTGTGAGTACCCCTCCTATCCCTGATTTTTTGCACCCTATAATTCTCGATTAAAATACAAAGGGCTTAACATAATTGGCACCGTTGCCGCAGAATGTAATGGATACTTCTCCGCATTGTTTAAGTATAACACTTACTAGATATCCAGTACTCCTGCTTGTTAGGACGTACACATTATGGGGAAGAAGCAGAGTGTTACTTGTTGCCCTACTACTACTTACGCTGGTAAATCTATGCCCACAATCGGCGATATCTATCTCATCACGACATCTTGCAGGGCTGCATTGCAGGATCTGGGGTGGTCAGTGCCCACGCTGTATCCCTGCTCAAATGTGCGTTTCATTACAGCCTTCCTTGGCGAGTCTCTAATCCAACAGGCTATCATGTAGACCAGGATCCCCCACTATCAACTTCTGGTTGTTATCAAAGCCAAAGAATTGCAATATACGCAGTCAACTATACCATACTGGTTCTTTTTGAGACAGGTCGATTTTCTTCTTTCTGCAGTGTTACTAAAGCCAAACCCTCACATAGTTATACTATGCCTCAATATTTTTCAAGCCTGGCTTCGCCGAGGTCAACATGGGAGCCGTCTCATTACGCGTCTGTACTGGGATGGCATTGTCTATGTTCTGTATATACTAGGTGAGCAATTCTCGTTGTCGGATTCGGGGTAGTACTAGGCTAACCCTCAACTTAATTGCATAAGCAATATCAATAGCCAACATCATAGTTATAACTCTCCTTCCGGTAAGACATGTCCTTTTCAATTAAGTTTTGCTAATCCTTTGGTGGAGTCGGATTATGCAGAGTCTCTCGACACGTAGGTTTCACCCTCGAACATACTGAATGCGTTTGACATTTGTCTTGTATACTACTCAGGCTCCAGTTAGTGTTTCACAGCGTCTTATCCGCCCGCCTTATTTTCAACTTACGAGCCATCATGCAACGACGACACGAGCAAGACATCTCGGCTGTCGTAATCGAGATGAATGATCAGTTCGAACGCAATATTCCGCACTAAATATATCAACCTATACAATCTGTTTCTATCTGGTGGGTTGGCACTGTTCCCTGCAACATCACCCCGGCAGAGCCTTTCATAGTCTCCGCTACCATGAACGATAGAAATACCTCTCTTCTGCCATGTATTCAAAAGTGCGATCATGTCATTTGCATTCCAATTGTTGACATCCAACTTGTAAGAGTCCGTAATAGATGCTGCTCAGATTGGGGAACATATTCGAAATGATTCAATACATTCAAATATGTTTCGGGATATCGCATCTGTTCATAGAACTTTTCTGACCGTGTCTCAGGCGTCCGAGTCACCGCTTCTTGTCTTTCTCGCGACAATCGCGGATACACCGCTCCACTGCTGTCAAAATATGGTCACTTATAGTGATAGCATTAGTGTGAGATAGTACTGTGTGCAGCTAACCAGCCCTACAAGTGTATGAGGCCGTTTATTTTGTATTCTATTCCCGCTACGTCAGCAGTGGGTTTTGCCGGTGTCATGCTCGAAAAAACCTCATCGACCAATTTTTGGCAGAGAAATGCGTTCCAGTCGCAAAATGTCGTTTTATTTACACGGTCATGTGACATTCTTTCTAAGTGTCCGCTCACATTGATCTTGCTTAGTTGTCGACTACTATGTCTTCTATTTATCACGAAGTCTTTGGATCTTTTGCAGATGTTCCTGCTGTTATCCGTGTCAACGGTGCGAGTCCTGATTCCACCGTGTCTTTATCTTTTTTGCACAATTGCAATGTGCCACGTTCTATTATTAACCATAATGGCGTGGCTGTGGAATCGACTTCTGGTCCGGTGTGCATCCCTACTGTCGACGGATGGTATAATTCTCGACAAACCTTTCGCTCCATCTATCTGAAAGGGTGCGACATTGAGCTTGGTCTTGATTGGCTCGCATTAGTATATGCGAGGTTTGATGGATCTCGATTCCTTCGGCCTTCGGAGACAGATCTATTGCAGCTTTCTGGCGGTCATAGTTGGAATTCTCAACCTAGAAGTATGTGTGCTCGTCCGTATCATTTTCGTATGGCTGAATGATCATTTATAGATGATTTATCATCTTCTGCTATCCAAGTGGAATCATCTTTAGCTACCCAAGTGGGTTCATCGTCTGCTACCCAAGCGGGTTTGCCTTCGTTATCTTCATCATGTTCGTATCTACTGCAGCATAATGATCATGTTGTAAATAATTTTTTTGATGGTTATGAAACATTACGCAGACCTGATCTGAGTGCATTGGCTATTGCCCATGGGCTTTCAGTAGATGAACATCTGTCTGTTGAAGATCTTCGGGAGATTATTTCTCATCACGTTGGCACGGGTCTTTGTTCTTCTTCTTTATCAGAAACATTTGAAGGTGCAATTCACTCCGTCGACAATTAAATTTGCATTGTGAGGACGAAGGAGAGGTACTTTTAGCAAACTGACTAAGCGGAGCTTAAGTCAGAAGCGTCCAGCTGAGCGCCATCGAGGCTGACCACCGCCGTTGCACCCGACTCAGATGCCCGTCTCCTAGGATAGGGGCCTGTTGACAGGGCAAGAGGGCAGCTAGTAGAGCGAGTGAGCGAGCGGTTTCAAACCTGCGAAAGTTCTCGTCAGGGGGCTACCGCTACCCTGACCGCTCGTACTTCTCGTTACTGTTAGGGATACTACTGCTAAGCCTTATATACAGGGGGAGTAATGGCCCGTGCCACAACTGCAACTGCGAACCACATTAGGGCCGGCCAGCTGGCTAGGTACCGGGACCCCCTGCAAGGGCAGTTTACGGTTGGGAAGGAGAGGGCTGGGGCTAGCTTGGAATCTTCGAGAACTAAGATCGGATTGATGGGCCTTTATCCCAGATATGGTATCACTGGGCCCCACACCATCGGTCTCTATCAGGTCCTGTTTCAAGAGCTGAAGAGATTCTTTCGTTCCCATGAGATATGCGATGAAGCTGGATGCAGGAGCAATCACATTCTTGACAGCGATATTGACCAATACCAAACGACATCCTTTAGAACAATTATTGAAAGCAAATGGAATTGATTTCGAACCAGGATCAAAAACAGGATGACTATGCCGCACATTGAAAAAGCACATTAAATCACTGCAAAAAGCAAAGTCGAAATCATCTAAGCAATATGATTCTGAAATCCGTCGTCATCAGCTTCGTTCTGACTGGCCTCAGACTCCTTCTTCACAGCTGAAGCATTACTTGATACAAATGTTTAAGAAAGAGACCTCATTGGAAAAACTAGCTACATTTACTTGTGCGTGCTGTGCAGAGAGTGTTTTGCATTCCGATTGTGTGATCACATATTTGGATGATTTCGAACTGTCTCTTTTACATAGACCTGGTTGACAAAATGATCGGATGTCAAATGATTATTTTGACATAGACTGTCCTCTTCCTCCATTGCCATTTTCCGAGTTAGATGGTCCACTGCATGACTTGATGCTCGATTCCAGTGGGGTGAGACAATCTGCTGATGGTGAATTCCAATTATCATTATGTGGTGTATGTCACAAAAATCTCAAGAAGGGAAAACGACCGGCACTTAGTCTAGCAAATCGTACTTTTTTAGGTGACATCCCTGATGAATTGAAGGACTTGACGGTCGTCGAGGAAGCAATGATTGCTCGTTGTCATGCGAAATGCTGGATTATTCAGTTGAAGGAAGAAAATCAGGACTTGCAACTTTCTAGCAACCAACGTGGAATGAAAGGTCATATAATTATCTATCCTCAGCGCCCAGAAGGAATTGCAAACATCTTACCTCCACCTGTGTCAGACATTATTACTCCAATATGTGTCATTTTTGTAGGATCGTGTCCTCCGACTCGTGAATGGCTTGAAGAAAAGGCGAAACCTTTGATAGCTCAGAGAGAAAAAGTTCGTGCTGCATTAGTTTGGCTGAAAAAACACAATCGGCTTTACAAAGATGTCATTATCGATTTCGATGTTTTGAACTCTATGGAAGAGAAAACACTGATGCCTTTTCGTGTTGATCATGTCCTTCCTAATGATGCACATGATTCTTTAACATCAAATATGATGCGACCGAGGCAGTGCAGTTAGATGACAAAGTTTTGGAGCATACTAGTAATGATCAATCAGTGCAGGCTGCTGAGCTAGAAGCTAATTTTGAAAAGGTTGTAGTCACTGATGTTGATGGAAATGCATCTGCAAACGAATTGTGTGCTGTGGCAGTTCATCATATTAAGAACAAGGGCGGTGGATATGTCCAGATCCCTCATGGTCCTGAACCCGTCAATGAGTTCTTTGATCCGGACCTATTTCCGATGATTTATCCTACATTGTTTCCATACGGACTGGGAGGATTTGAAGATCACTTACGCTCCGAACCATTGTCGATCAAGAGGCATGTTAAACATCTTTTCAATCTTGCAGATCATTATTTTCAGCAACATTACTCATTTCTGTTCACAGTATTTAACATTTTACAGTGCCAAAAGATTCTATTACATACATCTTTGAAGGTGAAGTGTGATTCCTTTCCAACTGTAGCTACTACTCTCGCCGCTGTTTTGCCATGGGCCGTTCACTGTGTAACAGAACGTGTAGCTCGAGGAGACACTGTTTCTGCAAACAACGAAGATGAGCAGTGTGTGTTATGCTTAATGAAAGAAGTACAAGTAATAACTTCACAAATTCCAGGTTCTGCACATGCAAGAGCGCAGATGTGAAATGAAATCCACGGCCTGATGTACGAGAGAGGATTACCGAGTTTTTATGTCACAATTAATCCTGCTGACATATATAATCCTCTTGTAAAGTTTCTAGCTGGTGCTGAAATAGATGTTGATAATCTTCTACCAGAAGAAATATCAAAATTCCATGATCAATCTATTCTCATAGCTCAAAATCCTGCCGTTGCAACCAAATTTTTTAATATCTACATGAAAGCCTTTATCAAATGTCTTCTGCGATTTGAAGGAAAGGGATCTGACCTTCATGAAGGTATACTTGGCACTGTCAGTGCATATTACGGATGCATCAAAGCTCAAGGCAGAGGAACCTTGCACTGTCATATGTTGATATGGTTAGAAGGTGGCCTCAATCCTAATGAAATTAAGGACTGAATATTACAAAATGATGAGCAGGCCTTTAAAGAATGTCTCCTTCGATATTTGGAAGATACCATCACCACCTGCATCCCTGAACTCCCGGTAGAAGACATATCAATACCAAATGAAAATTTTCATCCATGTGCAACTCAAGGAGTGAATTTCCATAATACTGAAGACGATTTAGACTTAGAGAATATGCAGAAGAAAGACATACACCTCCTTGCAAAGAAATGTCAGATTCATAGGCATTCAAAAACCTGTTGGAAATACTGGAAGGGCCCACCAGAACCAAAGGAATGTTGTTTCGATCTAGATGAAAAAATATACATCCAATAAGCATCGCTGATACAGACACAGGAGAAATTACCTTAAAATGTTTAGATGGTCTAGTCAATCATTTTAATGCAAGTATATTGAAAGCAATGAGATGCAATATGGACATAAAATTCATCGGCTCAGGTCCAACTGCAAAAGCGATTCTATATTACATTACTGATTACATCACTAAGTCTCAGTTGAAAACTCACGTTGCATTGGCTGCAATGGAAACAGCAGTACATAAATTAGAGGCTTATGATCCAAATGACGATGATTGTACATTATGAGCAAAAAAGATGCTGCAAAAATGTGCTCACCCGATGATTTCTCATCAAGAATTGTCCTCTCAGCAAGTCTGTTCATACTTGATGGACTTCGAAGACCATTTCACAAGCCATGAGTACTGTCAATTGTATTGGACAAATTTTGAATCCTTTATTGAAAAATGTAGTCCAAGTCCTGAGTGTAATCAGTCAATAATGGCTGATGATTCTATAATAAAAACCACTCACGATCATGATGATAACACTGAAGGTGCCATAGATGAACAGGATGAGAAAATAGAGCATAGAACTGTCGAAGGAGTCCTCGATAATGATGGCATCTATGTTGAACAGCTTGAAAATGATGAAATCAGGATTTGTAGTGATAACTTCGGTAACCTTGTGCCCAAAGCTGCACAGCTTATGGACTACTTACATCGAGACGAGAAATTCAGTAACATATGCATATGGGACTTTGTAGCGCAAGTAGACAAAGTGAAGAAAGTTAAGAAAAAGAACAAAACAAAATCTGAAAATATAGTCAGTGATGAAACATTAGATGATGATGAAAATGAGCCTATCAATGACACTATCCTAGAAGACGATGCTGATGAATTAGAGAGTTTGAATGAGATGGAAATCAATGAATCATCATCTGCAATGGAACCATGCTTACCTTTTTCAGCAAAAGATATCCTTCATTCGTCAGCTAAGACACAGCCTTCTGGAGAACTACAGACAGGGCATTATGAATCGCGCATGCATTTTCAATGAGTGAGACGATGGGAGAATCAATTTGTACCTGTTCCTATGGATCCAAAAATTCCTCACAGAGACCAAGAGTCGGTCTATCCAAAATACTGTCGTTTAATGCTGATCCTCTTTAAACCCTGGAGGTCTGTATATGATCTTAAACAGACAACACAATGATGGACCGATAATTTTGAAATATTCAGACGTACATGTGATGAGAAGATTGTTTCTATTTTGAACAATATGCAAATATTGCATGAATGTAAAGACAGCTGAGATGATCATTTTGCGAATTGTCGATTGCAACATAAACTTGCAGGAATCTTGACAGAAATATTGAGCTATAATGGTGGTTTTAATGAAGATGATATATTCACAAATGATACTGATGATGAAATACTTACACACCTAGAATCAATAGACTCCTGTCGTTCAATGTGCCAGACTACGGTTAATGACGATCTAATATGCTGCCTTGAGCATATGGATTCATGTCACTTCTTCGATGGCCTTTCATGTGTTTTGACTGCAGATGACCATGAAAACAATAGCGAAAAGAGTGAACAAATGATTCAAGATATAGAACAGGAAAATGAATGGCGAGACTGCTATGAGAAAAGACGAGCAAAATGGAAACAAAACCAAGCTGCAAATGATCTGCCAAAATCACACTTACCTACCATTCATAATACACCATCAATGACAATTGAAACACCCCAGATGAGAATGTCAGAGACACAAGAGACCTTTGTTCCAAGTATCCAGAGACCTACCCATCCGATTGATGCATTCCATGATGTTAATAGTGACTGTGTTGCCCAAGAATGGTTGCTAAATGATGAACAAGCCAGAGCATTTAAAATAATAGCAGAACATAGTTGAGCGAACAATCCTGAACCTCTCAGAATGTTCATTGGAGGACCTGCCAGAACTGGAAAATCAAGGGTAATTAATGCTCTGAAGGATTTCTTCATTAAACGAAATCAAACATGATGATTCAGGCTTGCCTCATATATGGGAGTAGCTGCACAGAACATATCAGGCATGACTCTACATGCTTCACTTTTATTAAATCAAAGACATACATCTGCGGCTGTTATGACTTGGATAGTATCTATTGGCGACGCTCAAACAGAGCATGTGTCGTCAATGGTTGAGGATGTCCTCGGGCTAGCCCAAGGTTAGGGGTCTTACTTGGCAAAGCTTTGGCAAGTAAGATTTAATGCCTATGTCCAAATCAGGTAGCTTATGTCAAGCAGGGCTTGATGATAAGTGTATCTGCCAAGGCTTATGACACCCAAAGGTTAATTGTAAGATCTGCGTTAATAGAAGGACAGAAGTCTGACTAGTTAACAGGGGCTTTGCTCGTCGACTGAAGTCAATGAGTAAAGATCGAGACTAAAGACTTATCCGCAATGAGCAGATAAGAAAGTAGAATATGGACAGCTGGCTAGGCTGAAGGAATCACTCTTGTTAGGAGTAGGAGGTCAAGAACCAAGTAGATTCAAGTTAGGGAACTAGATACATGGTAGCAAGTTTATATAGAGGAGAGGATGCATATTAATGAATGATAACTTGTACTACCAGAAGGGGAACTGGTCAAAGGGTGATACTAGAAAAGGAAGGCATGTTTGAGGTGAGTCATAGGCGAACCGGAACATGCAGATAGGAAATGAGTCAATAAACAGAAACAGGAAGTGAAACGAGCAGGGGCATGATCGTGCAGCTGTGGAGCTAAATATAAGTACAAATGTGCGACTGTGCACCAAGTCATAGATCAAGAAAGGAAATAGGGCAGAGGGGATGCGGCGTGCATTGTATCATGGGTTACCATCCGGACAGTAAGGGTAAAGGGGACTGTCCACAGGATCAGTCAACGGGTGGAATGGAGCATGGATATGCTTCGTCAGAGAAAGGGTCCAGCCAAATGTACTGGCTCTGCTGGAGCAACAGGTAGAGGGCAAAGGGGAATGTGAGGATGACAAGGATAACAAGAGCAAGGTCAGGGTAAGGGTGTGATGCAAGAGCGGAGATGAGGATGATAAGGCAAAAAATGGTAGGGGCCCAAGTGTATAGATGTTCTTGTAACATTACCCTGGTTTTTAGGACTGAAATCAACAAGCTCAGTTATCCATATTGTCATACCAGGAGGGATTATAGTCGAGGTCATGGAGTGCCTTGATGGCCCCCATGGCATTCTGTTCTCTGTCTTGTTTGAGGCATGCAGCATCACGGTCATAGGCTGCTTCCAGCTGATGCATGTCGGTGTAAAACCTTTCTGAGGATACCCCTCGGCAAAGGATCTTCTTGCCACCAAGACGAGGGCAGAAGGGGGTGAGATGTCCGGGGGCAAACTGACCACAGATGCGGCAGAAATATCGCTTGCATTGCTTCTGTTTGTGGCCGTACTGGGAGCAGACCCTGCATTTAAAATTACACTGGTATGGTTGGGGGGTTGCTCTATCGTGGGTATCGTTGAGTATCTGTTGCCTAGTGGGGTCTTGACCCGGTACATGTCTGGTGATGGGTAGTCCAAGGGCAAGGATGCGCTTGGTGTTCAACCGGCGGCTTTGTCATGGAGAGTGTTTCAGTGGGGGAACAGGGACGGGGGTGTCATCCCTCATAGCAGGTGATCCAATAGACAATAGAGGTATGTCATCGGTAGAGGTGAAACCTGGAGGGGGTGTGGTGAGACGAGCTTCTAAGCTCAGTTTTTCTTCGTTCATCTTTCTCCAGGGGGGTGTGTGAGTTTCCTCACTCGACTTTTCTTCTTCGTGCTTCTTCTTCCCTTTGTAGGGAGCAGGCAATGGATCGTTGGCTACTACTTTGTCATTAATGATGGCAGCTCGAAGTTCCTCGAGCTCGTCACTAGACATCATTCGGTACTGATCTTCTTCATGCTCAGCGAACATTCTGTCAATTTCTTCTGAGGTAAGGTTGGTGGGGATGAGGTTGGGTTTTTCAGAGCAGAAGGTTGGAGCACTGCACTCGGCAGTACACTCGACAACGGATGCCTGGACAGGTGGTTGGTT